GTTTGCAAATCAAGTTTTCCAAAATGAACATTTTATTATTCAATAATTATATAGGTGGGTTTGATCAAAGTAAGTGTGAAAGGCAAGATCTATGAAGCTATTTGTAAATATATTATTGCAACATTTTTTATAAAACAAAACATTTGCCGTACAACAAAAATTTTTGCCAAGTATGGTGAAAACATTGATCGCGCCAAAAACCGAAAAAACCAGGCACGGCTAGACGTAAAAAGAGACAATCGGTAAAAGGCTACACGGAAGTCGCACGACTTGCGGGTTTTGGAAGGAGATCGTGACACGGCAAATGTTCAATCTTTTTTTGTGTTATTAAAAAAAAAAATTAGCTATTTCACGAAAGTAAAAGTGTGGTATAGAAATACTCAATAATAGTGATTTATGAGTGCTGAATGCTGAGTAGCTGAGAACCCCATTTTTTTATAACGTAATTTTTGAGCGCGAGGTTAAATTTTCAAGGTGTTTGTTATTTTTGAATTTTTGGATTTTGATTCATGAAAATGATCATCGTCTTTTAAAGGTGGGTTCGAATCAACCGATAATAATAATAGTAATAATGACAACAAAATAAAATGTAAAAAAGTGTTTTTGAATTCTGATCTCATGACCCAAAAATATACTAACACTAACATGATCCAGGACCTGGGGTAAAAGCTCCAAGCAAGTTCATAAGTTTTGTCATTTTGAACGATCCGAAACTTCAGAGAAAGACGTAAACCTAACAATAGGAACCACGCAAAAAAAAATTTAAAGCGAACATGATTTCTTTTCAGTCAAGTTCAACTCTGACTTTTTGATAATTTTTTGTAGATAGAAATGATAATTTACATGGTACAGCGATGTAAAAATAATATCATTTTTGGAAACGAAAATCCCAAAAAAAGGAAAAAACGACTCATTATAAAGTTTTGCCCATAGATTTTGATCTCATCCTTTCCCAAAAATTTAGTTTATTAAAGTTGAGCAACAAAATGTTTAGAATATTCGTAACTCGTTACCTTAACTGCACCGAATTTACCGTTTTAGGTCTTAACGAGCTTCTTTACAATAGAATATTCAAATTCGGGTAAATTTGTTAAACAAAATAAATATATTATTACACAAAATATAAAAATATAAAAATTCAGAATGAACTGTAACACAGCACCCTTTCTTGTGTATGTTAAAAAAAAATTACTACTCTATTTATTAAAACGTAAAGTAATGTATGCCAAACTATTATCATCGTTATCATTAGAAAGAATGGAATTTGTATATAAAATTAATGGTGAAATATACAATAATGCTAATGCTAATTCTGATAGAGAAAGTAGAAAGGATTATTTTTTTTCATTAGTCAAGAAAAACAAGGAGCTTTCTGAAAATGAAAAAGAATTTTGTAAGGAAAAGTTTGCCTACAGCTTCGAATTAAAAAATG